TTTCAACTTCAAACTCAGCCCAGAAATTTCGGAGCACTTCAATTACTAAGAGAGCTGATGAATAGCCTAATGTAACAGTAACCTTTTGTGATTTTCCATTGCTTTTGTTGTTGTTGTTTTTTTTTTTTTTTTTTGAATATTCTAAGATCTAAGAGAAGATTTCTGAATTCCTATTGATTTTGAAATTCAAAAATAGATTCAGATCTGTGGAGGGAGTTTCTTGGGGGGGGGGGGGTAGAGGGGGGTTGGGCTTCCCAAAACTTGCAAATGAAGGCAAGGGCGTGCCCTTTTATAGGCACAAATGAGGGAGTTTCAGATTTTTAACTTTACAAAAAGTCCCTGCTTTTATTTCTATTTAAACCTCTATTTATTGACTTGTGTCTCAAGTTACTACCCTTAAACTTCTAAAATTGCGACTAAAGTCCTATTTTAGAAGACTCTAGAGCATTCTAGTTTCAGCCACAACATTCTATGCATTTCAAAGTCCAATCTACCCCTGAATTCAACCTATAATTACCTACTTCAGTTAACTTGAACCCACCCTTTAACCACTAGTTAAACCAAANTGGATTTAATTAGACAGCCCAAGGCTGAGGTGGTTCTTCTACTTTTCTTTTTCAATTGCTTTTTTTTTTTAATTTCTTTTTGTGTTTTCATTTTGTATTTCTTTTTATATATTTTTCTAATTTTATTAAAATGCAAAAATTAAAATAAAGTCCTAATATATTTCAAAGTTAAACTAATTAAATCCTAAAATTATTTAAAATCTATTTCGTGACGAATTCACAATTAAACAATTAAAGTGAAAAAATGAACTATTTTTGTTATTTTCCTCGTATTTTGTTCTAAAACAAATTAACCCCTAATTAATCCTAAAATATGAAATTAGATCCTAAATGCAAATATCACGTGTATTTTTATATTTTTCATATGAATTAAATGCACAAATAAAATGCAAACAATTAACACAAAATAACACAAAATTCACAAAATTGCAAAATAATGGAAGAAATTTTGTTTGAATTTTTGGGAATAATTTACTTAGGGCAAAAATCACGTGCTCACAGACTCCACCGATGATCATGTTGAGAATGTGTTGTGGTTCTTCCGGTTCGTCTGTTTGTTAGAATCCCTGTTTCTAAAATGATTCTTGGCTCGGTCGCTCAGAAATTCTCGAAGGTGCCCGTTGTTGAATAACCAGGCTACTTTCTCTCTCAACTGTCGGCAATCCTCCGTTCTGTGGCCATGAGTTCCATGATATTTGCACATCTGGTTGGGATCTCTTTGGGTTGGATCGGATTGTAAAGGTTGAGGACATTAGGTATCTTTGATGCGTCCGATAACCGATACAATGGCAGCCGCATCAACATTAGAGTTAATATTCCGATAATCGTGGTGCTTCTTTAGGTCTGATAGGCATGTCGAAGCAGTCTTGCTCATTAGTCCTCGAGAGCTCTAACCTCGATCACTTCTCATTTCATTTTGCATAAAACTTTGCCCGGACCCACTGCTTCTACGATCTCCATTATATGGCTGGTACCGATCTTTGTTTGACATTGGTTCACGGTCAATATCTCTCTTGATTCTGTCGACGGGTCTGACAGGATAAACGGACCTGGAAGGAGCCCCAAGTTGATCATTTTCGACCCTGAGCTTTGATTGACACTGGTTATGCACATCGGCCCAAGTAACAGCCGGGTACTCTATCAAATTCTACTTCAACTGCTGTGAAGCCACCGAGCTTTGAACATTGAGTCTTTGGATGAAGGCTTGAACGGCCCAATCATCAGCGACCAGCGGTAGGTCCATCCGTACCATTTGGAATCGAGACACGAACTCTCTGAGAATTTCATTGTCTTTCTGCCTTACTTTGAAAAGGTCCGACTTCCTGGCCTCGAGCTTGATAGCCCCGGCGTGTGCCTTCACGAAAGAGTCTGCAAGCATAGAAAATGAGTCAATAGAGTTAGGTGGCAAATTGTGATACCATATCATAGCTCCGTTCAACAGGGTCTCTCCGAATTTCTTCAGCAAGACTGATTCGATCTCATCATCCTCTAAATCATTCCCTTTGATGGCACATGTGTAAGAGGTAAAATGCTCGTTCGGGGTCGGTTGTTCCATTGTATTTAGGAATCTCGGGCATGCGGAACTTCTTAGGGATTGTCTTGGGAGCCGCACTCGGGGGAAAAGGTTTCTGCACGAACTTTTTGGAGTCCAGGCCTTTCAATTTCGGTGGCGCTCTTGGGATTTGATGGACCCTGGAATTGTAGGTTTTTACTTTTTTGTCGTTTGCCTCGATCTTCTTCTCCCCCGACTCAATTCGTTTTCTCACTTCCTCGAGCATCTTCATGATTACCGGATTGGTCCCCGGTTCCTTCTCATTCGATCTACAACTTCCTGGGATGGCTCTGGCTCATCTACTTGGTGGGCGACTCTAGTTCTGGAGTTGGGCTATCATCGCCTGTTGAGCCTGTAACATTTCGAAGATCACCCGCAAGTTGATTCCACCATCTTCGCCGCCATGTGCGCTTTGAGCGGCCGATCGAACATCCCTACGGACGCTGTCCTCATGATCGGTAGGCAAATTTGCGTTGATAGCCACATGTGAGCTAACGTCGATTGGATCTGCAGCCAGGACTCCATCGAGATCGACCGGGGGCACGTCGTTCTCGGGTGCTACGTTATCGTTTTCACTGTGGTGGCTGAAATCATTGTCAACGTGCAGGGGTGCTGATTGAGAGTTCGACATTTTGATCGTAGAATCAAAGACACTCCAAAGAACAAATGTGAAATAGTGTGTGTTATGAAAATTTGTATCAAATAACCACTGTTATCCTTAGCCCCACGGCGCGCACCAAACTGTTTTACCCTCAAAATCGGATAACAATTGAATTTATACGCGATTTTAAGGATACGTGATCTAACTTGATACAAATTGAGAAATCAGATTTAATATTGAAATTAATGATAGAAAAGTAAATGCAAATCACACAAGTTGAACAATCTTTGCCTTGAAGGATGGTCACCCTCGAGTCAAAAGTGCCTTAATCGATATCGGAACGAATGATAAGATACTAAGAACTACTAATAACAGTATATTACTTTGGGATGCGTGTTAAAATGTCCGCAATGAATTATCAGACCCCCCCCCCTCCTTATATAGTAGAGGAGTCCTACTCTAGGTACATTTCCATAAAAGGTAAAAATCTCTTGATTTGCTAATTGCCGGTTCCTTGCCGATATGCGCCGAGATTCCAGCCGTTATATACGCCCGGTCGCGGATATTTCGGTCTTTTGTTTGTTATTTCCGAGCTTGCTCGAGTCTAAGGTCGATACCGGACTCAACGTTCCTCGAAGGCAGGTCTTCCGACCTCAGGTCCTAGCTCGGTGAGACTCGAGGTCAATCTCCAGTCCGTGATCGCCACGTTCTAAGCAAAATCTACCAAGTTGTAGTCGAGCTGGACTTCGACCGTATACAATTTCATTTATTGAAGTCATTGTTTTCAAGTAGTAATTTGGTAATAAAGTTTTAAAAAGTTATTGTTATTTTAGTTTCAAGTGAAATATCAAATTAGTAAACTTAAAGGTGTATCGAATGAGCCCGAAAGTTTTGTTTATATGTCAGCATTTCACTTTTTGCAAAATATTGAACTTTTAATATTGGCCAGTTAGACTCAAGCATTTGCAGATATTGAACTGAAATCGTTGAACTTCAAATAGAATATTGAAATATTGATTCAAAGGTGTATTTCAAGTGTCAAAGGTGAATAGCACTCATAAATTTCTCACGTGAAGTGAATGTCATATCTGCGCACAGCTTTAACTTTCTTAAACATTTTTCAGCTTCAATTTCTTAACTCAAAGACTGAAAGACCAAGCAGACGCCTACTTAATGACCTAAATAAATACTGTAGAAAGTTTGAAGGCAGCAAGCAAAGGAAGCACCATTTAGAGCATAGGCGGACCCAAGATTTGAAAATCGAAAACACATTCTTGAATTTAACCAAAATCTGCTTTATATATATGGTGCATATCATTAATATATTACTATTGTATAAAGATATATATATATATATATATATGTGAAATTTTTGCCATACTCTACAGTTGTTAGTGACTTTTCTCTGTATAGCATAGGTCTGCCTCTGATTTAGATAGGTCTAAGTGGTCAACAGTGAAACAAGTGATGGAGCTTCTGCTCCTTGCTGATGCAATCAGAGCATCACTTCCCTTTATTTTACTCTGTTTTTTATTTGGTTGGGCCAAAAGTTACAGCCAGTACAATATGATGCAGCTGTAGATACGTACTAATTTTCAGGACGGTGAAACGTCATCGTTGATGACAAACATGTGAACTGAATGTCACTTTCGTCATCTCTAACCTTTGGACAACGAAATCTAGTCGCCGTCCTTTCTTATCCATACAACCCAAAACTACCATGCTGCACAAGTCTCACGTCTTAGTAGCTGCAAGTAGAGATTCATAAACAATTTCACTATCGTCTTTAAAAACTAGAAATTGAACAGATTCAAAGAGAACGCTAGAGAATTCTCTATTGGCCCTCCTAGTACCATTCTTATTTCAAGCTAACAATATTATATATCCCAAAATGTGACTGGTAATTATGCTACATGTTATAGTGATCAGGGGAGGATGTAGCTATCACACCGGTTCAATTGAACTAATAACTTTCGATGCGGAGTACAAATTTATAATGTACGAAATATTACTAAAATTGTAATAAATTATAGATATGAACTCATAATTTTGAGAAATAATGGATTCAATACTAGAAACCTCAAATGTTGAACCATAAAACCATTCTTTTTGGCGCAGTCTTTCCTTTTTCCGCTAGCTGTCCGACTAGTGATTGCATTTATACTTCACATTTCACAACCGATAACTCAAAATTCCAAAATTAATTACCTTAGATATTCTCCCATATAATGTAGCCCTCTAGCATGGGCTTCGGTCTAGTGTGATTTTGCTTTTTCAGAAATCATTGCTAAAAGTAAAAATTTAATTCCACCTAACTTACATCTGAAGATCATCATACATTATGTCCCAAGCTCCACAAACATATCGCGAAGAAATACAATAGATTCATCTAGACCATACCTAAAACCCCATGTGAAGAGATAAGAGTACTGGAGAAAAAGCCAGGGAGGAAAATCCAAAAATTATTTATACAATATACAACCAACAAAAAAACTTCTAAGGACCTCGAAGTAAATAGATTGTCACACTATTCAAGGAATGATGGGACCAAAAGCCTGACACTCCGATAATGATTTCTGTTCCCCACCTTCACATAAAAATAATCTCAACGGGCACCGGTACAAACAGTTGTCCCCTAATCTCACTGTTACTGAACCCGGTTTTAGCTCCAACATTGGACCCGGTATGGGTCCGAATAAGTAATTCCCTCCTAACAACAGTCTCTCAAATTGTGATACCCCTTGACCCGGCACCACCATTTTTAATGAATATTGGACCGGTATCATACCCGACAACTTGTTGTTCTCTAGTGATAATGATGATAATCTGGGCATTAAACCCAAGAACCCGGGTAATAACCCGCGGATCTCATTGTTGCTCAAGTCTACTGCAATCAACTGACTGTTTTGTAAGAAGTTCCCGGGTTGTTGAACCGACCCGTATTGGTTATACGATAATGTGAGCTGCTCAAGAGAGGGGTGGGTGAAGAGACTCGCTGGAACTGACCCACTGAGTTTGTTGTGACTCAGATCAATAACTTGTAAGAAATTCAGTCCGGCGAGACTCGCCGGAATGTTACCTTCTAAGCTGTTGTTTCTCATTGCAAGCTCGATGAGAGATGCCGGGAAAGTCGCCGGAAGTTGGCCGGAGAAAGCATTGTCACTTCCATCGAGGAAAAACAAATTATTTAACTGACCTAAATCGGGAAACTCGCCAGTGAGCTTATTGGCTTGAAATTCGAGCCTTTTTAAATTCTTGAGACCGTTGAAAGTTGAGGGTATTGTTCCCTCAAGGAAATTATTATCAAGGTAAAGTTCTTCAAGGTTTGAAAGTGAGCCTAGAGAACTGGGAATTGAACCAGAGAACGAGTTTCTTGACAAAGTGAGTCGTTGAAGACGAGACAGATTTGAGAGTGAGTCCGGTACTGAACCAGTGAAGAAAGTATTAGTGAGGTCCAAGGTTTGGAGATAAGGGAGGTCCCAAGAGATTGAAGTGAGTGAACCAGAGTAACCCGCCTGGTCAAGAGCGACTTCAGTGACTCGGCTAACTGAGGATATGACAATGTCACAACGGAGACCACAGGTGAATTTTTCACCGGAGAGATTGTCACAAGGGTCTACAGAGAAATCCCAAGAGATCAGGCATGAGCCAGGTGTCATTGAATTGGAGTCGACGCTATTCTTGAGTTGCTTTAAGACTTCAATGTCTTGCCAGTGTGTTGTTGAATATGCATGCATGAACAGAACATGGAGAACTGTAAGGAATAGAATTGTAGAAGAAGATGAGAATACAGAGAATAATGAACGATCCATTTCTGCAAACTTTCCTCTCCGTTCGTTTTATTTTCCTGTTGGGTAGTGAGAATTGAAGAAGAAACTCCTTTAAGATTGGTTTTGAAATGAGTTCATGAGCATATATTAGGGTGTGGCCAATGAAGGGAGCAAAACAAAGAAAGGTGAAGAAAAAGTGAGAAAGGCCGAAGTGAACACTTGGCAAGGAGGAGTTTAAGGGGTATTTGTCTTTATTCTCTTTACTATCTCAACACCGCTAGTACGAAGAAAGAAGAAAAAATGTGAAATGTACTACTATATGTAAAAAAGAAGAAGTAAAGTTCAGTAAAATTAAATTTAAAACTAACAAATGTATTAAGAAGTATGTCTTAAAAATATCTATTTAATTAGAAAAATAATGAAAAATGTTTTGAAAAATTATTTAAAAGTTAGAGATGATTTGGAACAATTTAAATACAAAAAAGAAAAAGAAAAAAGAAAAAAGAAAAAAAGACATACAATTCGAGATAAAGGAGTACGCTAAATTTGGCACAAATATCTTGTGGTGAGAGAGGCTCACAGGAAAATGTCAGTGGAGTCTAATGCTCATTTAAAATTCCATATTTTGCTTATTGAAGATCAGAAGGTAAGGAAAAATGATAGCTCTCTGTGACACTGCCATTAAATGTTATGTAGGCAGAGAGCGGGGACAAGGGTCCCAATTTATGGTTGTTACTCAGTCGACAACGTTCATTTCAGGCTCTGATTTTCTTTTTTCATAACATATTTTACTAATTTCCGATGTTTTCCAGCTAATTGATGTTCTGTTCTTTTTCAATATTTATCTTATAACTAACCAAATATTCTCTCATAATGACTAAACAAAATAGGCAAATAAAGGATTCATGAATAACTTAGCTCAGCAGCAATTGCGCTTGCACTGATTGAGAGGCACCTACTTTTAATTGAGTAGCAATCACTTTGCTTCGACCAGTTAAAGAGAGCCACTTTCTGATTCTTTCGAAAAAGTTACTACCAGTAATTTGTCTTTGCGTTTCACTAAAGGTGCAATTTTAAATGGATGATGCTACTTGTTTAAGGGTATACTTTTATATTCTCGAAAAAGAAAGGAGTTATTTTAGCTCTTTATGTTTGACTTTCCTGGGTATTGGACAAATTTTGCTTCGAGAAATTGTCCTGATTCAATTTTTAGTTCTTCGAGAAACTTACGCTGAATGTTTGTAAAGATTACGCCCCTGAATTTAAAAATTAGTCTGCACGAGACAAATGATAGACACCTAGGAAACTATATTCCGACCCACAAAATAGTGTTATGACCCGTGACCTAAAATATATCAACCAATTAATTTTAGCCCAAGTAAATTTTAGACGAATTGTCATTACCCCATTCGTTGTTTCACGCTATTTTAACTGGTAAAACTTGACAAAAACCCACCATTTGATTTCTAAGAGATGCCTATTGTTTAAAGGTGGTCAGCCTCTTGACCATGTTTCATCTTGACTAAACCAACCTTAAATGGTTGCGAGATTTAACCCATTTATTGGCTCAACTGATTTAACCAGGTTCAATTTTGACATAGCTCATCCTTTTGACATAGCCAATACTTCCCAATATGACACATTATATGTTCAAGTTGTTCAATTCATTAAAAAAAAAGCTTATAATATACATCAATGTTAATCGAGAACTTACTATGTTTTAAGAGCATATCAAGGATCGCTTACAACTGGATATGTGTAAGGAATATTTGGTTGGTCGCTATGGAAAAATATTGATGTGCTGTGAGAACTCTTACCCCATCCCCCTGAAGCCTCATTGGTTTGGATTGGCATCTTCAAGGAGACGTTAGAATCCCAAATATTTTAGTGCATCATTAAAGAACGCATACCAAAGATGTGGAACAATAAATAAAAAATAAAAAAAATAGGCTACTCTCTACCAAATCAGAGTAGCTGGCTCATTTCTCTACCAAATTGGCAAAGATGCCTTATGATTCGCTATTTTAAGAATTACTGAATTATCTTTAAGACTATTTTTGTCAATCGTAGGAGAATTGCTCATTGTGATGTTCGCTGTTTTAATCCATTACAAGCCGCCAAGTTGGTATCTGGTCCCTCATACTGTCAAGTCGCGCGTGATTTTATATAGTGTCCGTCTCATCATTGCCAACTTATTTCAGAATTTCATGAATGTGATATAAAGTTGCTTAGCCAACCCAAGGTTATGAAAGACTGGTTTAAGGGTGGATTCAACTCTAGAGCCCAGTTAAAACTTCAAACCAGATTCTAAGTTTCGCCTAGCTTATATGGCGCCTTAGGAGGCGTTCGGTATGCGGACTAAATTATCCCGAAACCAAGTTTGATGGGATAAGGTGGGATATTCAGAATTAAGTCTGGGACTAAGTTTAAGCTATGTTTGGTTGACGATGTAAATTTATCATAGGATAAATTTATAAAGTCAACCAAAATAGTAAGTATAACTTTAATACCACATTTTATCCCACCTTATCCCGCATACCAAACGATCCCTTTAATGTATATGCTTAAGTGAGGCATCCCCAATAGCCTGTGCTGTGTCTTTGACGGAGAAGTATTAGGCAATAGATAGACCTAGTAAATCGATACATAAATTGCTAAAAACTCTTATGAATATCTAGTGCTTAGGTTCATTGCAAGGAAACTACCTGCAAAAAACATACAACTACATGTTTTTGTCAAATAAGAATTTTACAGTGATCCTCAAACTTCTATACTTTTTATATTTCGCTTACTTAGTTATTCAATTATGTTGTCCAAATAGTTGTATGGTTATATTTCCTTACGTATCACATATTCGTGTAGGTTTTTTATTCTTTTTTGGGACTTTTACCAAGTTATACTATATTAGAAACTTATTTACCAATGTTGTCTATGTTTATAGTTTTTAATAAGTATCTAGGTTTTTCTTACAAATTGTGCAAATTGCTCCTTAAAAGGCTCTCACCCCATTATTAGTGCCTTCAATTAAGGGATTCAATTATATCCTTTCCTTTTTTTCCCCTCTCCTCTTCTCTCTCCTTTTTTTTTTACGACAAAATTCCTCAATCTACGCCCAGAATCTCCATCTTCTCTCTTTCCACCATTGCCGACAATTTTATATTATTAAATCATCAATTGCATCGTTCTTTTGCTAGGAGACCGAACAACACTGAAAATGAAGAAATATCCAGGAATTGTATGATAAATATATCATAATTGTATTTAAATTGTATCAGATACATCAATACGTAAAACGTGATTGTATCATACTTGTATCACAGTTGTTTATAACTTGTAGATGGTACCTGATACAATACTAATAAATTAATATATAATTATCATATATTTGTGATACAAATTGTGAAATTCGTCACGATCTCACAAATGCTCACAATTCAAATACAAATTTGATACAATCGTGAAAGAATTCTTACACAATTCTGATACAACCTAAAACCGACTCTAAACTTAAACTGATACAATATCGTATTATACTTGTATTAGTATTGCATCATGTATTGTTTTAGTTATAAAATTGTGATACAATTCTAAATTATGATACAACTTTGATCTTCATCTTTTTCAAGTTTCAATTTAAAATATCCACCTAGATCCAACTCTAAACTTAAATTATAATACAATATTGTATTTTAATAGTATTAGTATTGTATCATAATTGTCTTAGGTATATATGTATCAAATACAACTCAGATACAATTATGATACCTTTACCATACAATCGTAATACAATTCCGAAACTTCATCTTACTCGAGCTTCATTATGAAACTCAACCTAAAACCAACTTTAATCTAGAGTGAAGCTTACCCACAACTTGATTGTAGAGCAAATCTTGAATTTCTTCTGTATTGTATAAATAAGAATGAGATTTTGGACGATTAAAGAGAGAAATCGTATATCAACAGCTTTGGAAGAGGAAAGAATCTGCAATTTTGGGGGGATAACAGTGGAAGGGGAATGAGTAAGCGAGATTTTTGGGTTAGAAAGATTACGGATATCAATGGGTTTCTTACTGTGGGTAAGTACAAAAAGAGGTGATGATTTTGGAGTTCAGTGGGTTTCTTACGATGATGATTTTGGGTGAGTACAAAGAGAGGTGATGATTTTGGATAAGTATAAAAACAGATAGAGTTTTCCTTGAAAAGGGGAAAAGTATCTTAAATGTAGGGGATTATATGTAACTGATACCCAATATTTAACGTATGTTTCATTTCCTCCTTTTAAAGATTTTGTATAAAACTAGTAAATATAGGTATATAAAGTAATTAATAAGGAACCTAATAAAGATAGTAAATAGGTTCTATTATAGTATAGCTAGGTAAAAAATTTCCTCCAGCCCACGCTTTAATCACACTTTGAGCCCAATATTATGACTTTTTCCCCGCTTTTGACTACTCTGGCCTACCCTTGCTTTTCATCTAGTAATCATTTTCGAAAAACTTTTCATATCCTTAACCAGGCATAACTCTGGCACAAACCCACCACACTGAGAAACTTTGAGTTTTAGAAGCGTAATGATGGGTCGCAAAGGTAATAATCTGTGTTCCGCATTTTGATCCCCACAGAAAACAAGAATCCACCGACTTTCTACTAAGTTAAAAAAAAGATAAGCAAAAGATTCGAGAGATTAAAACAAATAGTAATAACTAAAAAATCATCTTTGCGTCTATCTATATCTCCCTTCAGAAAGGGGAAAGAAATGATTTAGGATGCAAACTTATATATAACTTAACCTCGGCAATCCGAGATTAAAAGACTAAAAACTATTAAAATTATCTACAATAACTCTGACATTTTTATCAAGCGAACGCTACTCTCAACATTTACATTTGAGTAGTTTACTCTGGAAGAAAATATTTGTACATGAAATGCACATCTTCGTCTAGATAACCGTAGATAAATTCTTCTGTAAACATTTGATAATTCCATTTACACATCTAATAGTTAAAAACATCTTACTTTTACAAACACCTTGAAGAAACAGAAATGCGACTTAATCCCTCTCCTCCAGAACTGTTTACTAAAATTACTCTGGAAGAGAAAACTGAAAGTCCCAGTAAAACCACAGGAATAGAGATGAAGAAAAGAAACAAGGTGGTAAGGGGATCTGGGCAGGTTAGATGACCTTTAGACAGGAACATAAGGAGATATTAACACTTTACACATCCATTAATGAACAGAAGAAACTGATCCTCGACGAAGGATATTCATTCAATGTAAGGCTAATTTACAAAATAGAACAAGGATAACAATGGTACCTTAAAGGTGTTCGTCATGGTTTCCTTTCAGGTGACCATTCAAACTTGCCAAGCCTTCCTTTGTTCTGGTTAATGCTGTGTATGTACTGCTTGACATACTTGTGGTTCATCTCAAACATAAAAGTCATTTCCCGTATCTGCAAAAGTGCAGTATGTTCCATAAATTATAAAACTGTAAGACTCCAGCGAAGGAAAATATCATAATAGAGAACATTGCATGACCTCGACCATTTACAATTATTACGCAGGGGGTAATATGAAATGAAGATACTGCAGGCATTTTAGGTATACGCAAGTGTAGCTTAGATGGATTTTCTCTTCATTGTCATGACTGAATAATACACTCACCAATTACCCTCTTGACCACCCCCCCCCCCTCTTCCCAATATCCCCCACCCTCGCCCCTGCAGAGGCGATCAGGGGAAGGGGTAACAAGTCATAGCACTTAAGAAGAAATTGAAATAAACGGAAAAATCATGGCATGACAGGAAATTTACAAAAACATATCTTTATTGGTAGATTGGGAGATGCGACATTCGAGCCAGGTTAGGCCAAATAAAATTTATCCAGTGGTAGATGTAGTCTAATATCCACATGAAACCAATAGAAAGCTACCACTTCTCAAATCCATATCTCAACTGCAAAACATATAGTATTTGAACTTCAGGATTGATTTTTCACGAACTTAAAAGGGAAGCAACACCAATGTAAGTCTCTAGTAAAAAGGTACAACAAAGGTAATCAATAATTTATGAAGAAAACATGACCAAGCTGTTTGATGGTTTCATATTTAGTGGTGAAGAACTTTGAGTGGACAAGGCCAAGCTTTTTGGCAATATAATGATGGTAAAAACAACCCTTCTACTACCAATTCAGCTTTGAATTTGGTTAACAGTCTTTGTGATGGCAAAATGGAAATCCCTAATGCATGTAGTCGTGGATGTTGGTCAAAGCTTGGAAGGAGTATGGAGCATTTTAGTCAACTTGCTTTACAAATAAACACCATCTTAGAATAAAATCAATGCAGAGAATTCATATAGCAGATGACACCTAATTTAGGATTGATGGTTGTTGATTGATTAATTGAAACACCATCCTACTGTGGAGAGAAGGTCCAAAATATGTATTAGATTAAAAGTGTTTAGTTTTCTACAGAGAAGATTTAGGAGCCCCACGGGCTCCCGTCTAGTGGTAAGAGCACAAGGCGTGATGTGTGAATCAAGCGCACTTCACAATTCAGATCCTGCCGCAAATAATATCCCGGTATTTAAGGAGAAGGGTAGAGTGGCGGGCCCATTATCCAACAAGTTTGGAACTGTGTGCTGCCTGCCCTCGGGAATTTTTCGGTTTTCATATTAAAGAAAAGGGATAAAAGGTCTAATTAACTCGTCATTCTTTCCTTGTTGATTTCTTTTAAGTTTCCTTTATTTTGAAAATCTTTTCTATTTATGTGTTGCTTTCATCTAGCATTTTATTGATGTTATTTTGCAGTTACGTTGATTATGTACTTCAATGTTTTGTTGTCAACGGCTAAAAATACAAATTTTAAGGTTTTGTTGAATTTTCTTGTTTAGAAAGACACTTCTTGTATTTCTGTATCATATACAGATAAATCGGACATTTGGAATATAAATTAGGGCAGTGGATAAAATATAAGCTCTGGCGATGGAAATAAAAGATTTAATAGTAATAACCAAATGTTGGATCCAAAAATGGTGGAAAAGATACAGGCCAGGTTGCAATCCTACTACCTAACAAGTAACAACCACCAGTCCAGTTCTTAATCGCACTTTATCATGTCAGATATGCCAAAGCACATAATTTGCCATCATTTTTTCTATTAACGTGATCAAGAATGTGTTTTACACATCAACTTCCAGCAAATGCTTTGTAATTTTTCTTTATCATACCTCAACTCATAGTTTAGAAATATATGGTTTGAAGATCCTTATTTCTTTGACATGAAAAGCAATGTTTGTAAAGCAATGTGGAATATTTGTTAGAGAGGATCTCCGACAATTAAATAAATAAGGAGCAAGAGTCATAGGACGGGAGTACTATCAACCACAAAGCTGAACTTCCAAGACAAAGATGTAGGTAATATGCAAGAAAACGTGTCCCTTGAAGGTAAGGAGAGTGACATACCTCTATCACACTACTAGTGCTAAGAGTCAGATACTGTCCAGTATCAACTGACTTGCCATTCACTGCTATTGAGCACCTCCCTAGATTCTTCAGACAGAAGGATCCATCCGATTCCATCTTGATGCTTGCCTAAGTAAGAACACGTGGAGAAATGACCAAAAAACGCATCCATCTAATGCAAAACAATAAGGACAGCACAACATATAACTGTATGTCCCAGGAAATTTTACTAGCTGACATAGAACTATAGAAGGCATTCTGAACTAAAGAACCTTAGAAATATTTACCTCCACCAAAATGATATAAACAAAAAAGCAATATATTGTCTAGAACTGACTGTTGCAATGTTTCATCACGATGTCTTCTAGCCTCACCACCCAAGTGCCATTACCTGGTTTTTCCTTAAAAGTAACCCACAATTGTGTTTTAGCCATCATCAACCAAACATTGTGACTTCCAGTGCTTGATAAAATTGCATAGGTAATTTCTTTATTAAAAAGACATTGCATAGCTGATTAAGCCACATCACTTTTTATGCTCGTACATTATTACATTGAAAGAATTAAAAAGCTCCAAAAGAATCTCCTTCACTGAAGTTTTAACATCAAGTTGTAACATCAAAAGGCACAAAAAACAAAGTCACAAGAAATCATCATATTGTTTGACATGTCTCCTCTTCATAGAGTACATGAAACACAAATTATGTCTCAAGGAGTACTCCAATATCATTCTTAACAAAGAAATAATAGCATAACATAGAAGATGCAAACTAAATAATTCTACCTGACGCCGAGATATTTTGTTAGCTCGGCCTTCTTTTCGTAAATCAATGTCAACCTCAACATCTTCAGTGGATCTTCCAAGTATGACCTACAAAAGCAAGCTCACTTGATCAATAATGAAAATGGGAAAGCTTTACAATAATCAGGGTTTGATTTCCCCTATTAAAGCTGCAAAACCATATAGTGCTGAAACTCCACTAAGAAAGGGTGAAGAGGTCATTTGAAAAGGGCTTAGCTACGATACAATCAAGAGGCAGTTAGAGTAGGAGTATACTAAGATGAGATGTCGAATCAATTAGCTGTAAATCCTTGTAAAAGTTTGGATAAAGAAAAATAATGAGACTAAATCCAAAACAAATATCTTATTTCTGGAGACTAAACAAAGACTTAAAACATATTGCACTTGCTCTTAGCCAAGAGGCCAAGAAAGGTTTTACATTGTGCAAGGCAAGAATCAGGCAGTAGCTGCACAATCCATGTCAATGATATAAATGCCTGATGAAAGACAAGGCACTCTGAGAAAAGTACACACGTGAGAACGAAAATCACATTTTTTTCTTAAGATAGGGGACTCTTTCAAGCATTATTAATGGTTTTATAATTTTTACTCATAACGTCATAACCCGAGACTAGGCTATTCTATTAATCTCAATCAGAATAGGGTATTATAGGAATTTCATATTTTGTAATAATTTTTCCAGGAAATCCACACAGCGGTCTCCAGCCAAGTTTCCTAGTAGGCTTTGAGGTCAAGTTACACTATATTTCTTTATTGTTTACTGGTGTTACAAGTAGGAACAAGAAATTTATCCCTATAAATTACATCTAGTCTTTCATTTTATTTTATTTTTGGGATAAGGTATATGTATTCTTTCAGTTTAGTGGTGGAAAACTATAATCATTGAGTGAAAGTTATGTAGCTTCTTTGGTGCATATGTGACCTAGGGAAACTTTTTCTGCTTCGTATTAAATGGAACAAGAGGATGCCCCAAAGGGAAGCAATTACAAGGCCACATGAAAAAAGTCTGAAAATCAGTCTATAATACTAAAACTAAAACCTCAAAGGAACAGCCGCGTAGAAAATAGAGATCATAGATGTGGAAGAGCAATGCCCCAGCAGAAAGAATACAAATAAAGAAAGAGAGAGAGAGACAGAGAAGACGAAAGCTGCTAGACTAAAGGAGACTTTTGATTGCTATAATTATAATCATTCAATTGAATAACAAATGATGCAGGTCACAATCTAATATATTTACCTCGGTCTTCCGAATATAGTGCCTCATATGACGTCCATATAGGATAGCAAAGGCCCCTCGAGGTGTCATTTCTCTTCGCGAACAAGAACGAGCACACTGTTCCAACCTGATGGTAGTCCTTTTGAAGTCTTCAGCCTGATACTTTGACTCTGAATATCACATAACCCAACGCCAACAGTTCAAATCATAGTAATCTACATCATATAGCATAATAATAGGCATTTTATTTTTCACTGTGATGTAAAAAAACAGTAGCTTCACTATATGACACACCCATTAGCTGTTGGGGTAATCAGCAGTAGATAGTCACACACCTGTAAATGTATCGATGACTAAATACGGATGTTATCTGTGTGTAAGACTATAAGTTTGGCACAACAATCATGAGAAGAAGAATAAACAGATGTAAAAGTGATACCACAGAGTAGGTACATTCAAGTTTAAAAAGCTTGCTCCACATGATTTATCTCCAGTAAAAGCTACAAAGGAACACAATCCATTCAATTTCAAATAACTCACCTTGCCTAGTTGTATATGGGTCTTGATCTTGTGGATCTAAGTCCATATCTAGTATCTGAATATTGAAATCCCAAGGTCAAAAGGTTATATCTACTTTGGTAACTCTATAGATGAGATTAGCTTAAAGAAGAAAAGTTCAGGAATTACCAAAGCTTCAACATCAGAAAAATAAGGTACATCGTCATCGCTCTGAGGTTCTTCCAGTTCTGATGTTGAAGGGTTAATTGCTGGCTCTGTAGCAGCCGCTCTGACAGAGCTTGATTCGCCAAATTGTGGCATCTTGATGAAAGTAGCAGGAGGGTGCCCCACCTGCCGCCAACAAATAAGCAGCTCTATAGGTATCATTCGGAAATGCTAAGAAGTTCAAGGAAGAAAGTATAGATAATATTTCAAGTTTTGATACCCCTCTAACTCTAGCAATATCCTCCTCTCGCACATCATCTTTAGATACTTCTGCATTTGCAGTAAATGATCTGCTTTGACATGCGACTCCAGCACCCTTCTTAGCATCACCAGGAAGTGCCGGCAAAGCAGTAGTACCAGACACCTTTACATGGGCAGTATTGACGGATGGCTGCACCGGGCGTGTTTCTCCAAAGATGTTTGGTGCAACCTTATTAGTCCATGCAAAAGATTTGACGGAATCTTTTCCACGAGTGAAGGAGTTAACTCTTTGTTCATTTTTAATACTAGCTGATGACAGGTCCATGGAACTTTGACCAATTGGTTGAGTTGCAGTCGAAGCAAATGATGTAGAAGGGTGGATAAGCAAGAAGATATCGTCATTACAAGGAATTTCCGTATCCTCAGTGTTCAGTGTACAATGCATATTCCCATCAGTAAGCTGTCTTATATCAGGATTTAATGATGATGCGGATGACAAATTAACTTCACAGTCAGATCTTACATCTTGCCTAAGCAGGGAGGAAGTGTTCACTTCTGATCCTAAAGGATTGAAATCATCAGGAACTGCAACATTTGCATTCGAATCATTAACTACTTCAGATTCACGGTTGTCTGAACCACCTTCTGGAATATCGCTAGGAGAATCTGGGAGGAGCTTAAGATTAGCTTTACACAAGTTGTCCGCTGAATCTTTCCCATCCACTTCCATCAAGAGGATATCATCCTCATTTGAAAGGTTCAAGAGTGAATCTGGGAGATCCGTGAATTCACCATCTGAGGTAGCTGATGAATCAATAAAATCAGTGCTACCAGTCCTGACCCCCACCATTGCTCCTGCAAAGACAAAATTATACATACATGAACACTTATCATAACTATTGCCATCACTAGGAAAAGACCTTGTTAACGGCTTATAACATATCTCCAATGCTAATCCTGCTACATTTTCCATTGTGTTCCAAAAAGGAAGAATGACTGAACAGATGGAAATTCCAGTGTATGAAATGAAGAGTTCTGACCTGAGTTTGGGGAGTGGGAATGCTGTCTGCTTCCAAATCCACAAAGACCCCTACAGATATTTTGATGGTTGTCACTTCTTGAGTGAAAGGTAGACAACTGTTTTCCTTCAGGACCACCAAAGATCTTTCTCTCGGGAGATAACTGTGATAGGCAGGGCCGCTTAACACCCAAGCACTTTTCAAAGTCAATGGAATTGTCTTTAAGAACATCAGGAATTTCTCTGTCTTCCATATCAGGCTGAAAAGAATTCCTCCTCTCTTCTCTTAATGATGAAGCGGAAAACTCTTCCAAAAACCTACTTTCTCTTAGAACTCCATCTGGACTATTATTGTCTACTGAAATTGAACACCTACTGTTATAGGCTATACGGGAATTCGCAATGGCAGATGTGACAGGCATGTCTTCAAGTGCTTCTGGGAAAGCATTGCGCAAGATATCCAGATCTGATTCTTGAAGCCCAAGGTCATCTGAGATACAATTCCCAAGCATATAGTTCCCATCACGAGACTGAGCATCAATTCTAACATGCTGCCTAAAATCAGTTCCATGTCCATTGCATTCATGTACATTTGGCTCATCCAGAAAGCCTAGATCTGTGGAGTTGAAAAATTCACTTCGAAATTTCTTCCGCATCGCATAGTATTGTTTACGAATGCTGTCTACTTTCCTCTTTCCAACAACATCTTTGCTTCCTTTAAAATTATCAGATTTATTAAACTTTGACAATGGATTGATCCCTGAAAGTTCAAGCTCAACCATGCGAGCAGAAGCTGGAGCTGCAACATCAGAATCATACAGGAGAGAATGCCAACGGTCTTGCAGCTCTTGCAACGTGAATCTGCGGGAAAATCGTACTGCCCCTCTAGCAAGGGCTTCTAAGGATGCACCAGCCTGCCAGTATATACAAGGAAAAATGAACAAGTTTATTTAAAAATAAAACAACTGAGTAAGACTTGGCTATGAAGCAGCAAGTAGATTTAGAGTGCTGATAAAAAAAATATATGTGGAGTATTGTTCCAAGCAACAGTAGACGGTGAAAAGAGACGGACAAGTTCTTCAAGAGAAAATAACTGAAGCATTTCTATCCTCATCAATGTGAGCCAAGGTAAAGTAAGAACATATTAACTTTGTAAGATGCAACACAAAAATATTATTTTTTTTATAGGTAATAAACATTTCATAAATTCTTGCACTAAGCTAGTGCATCAGGCATAATTATGCAAACACAAAAATATAGTATTAAGAAATGAACCTTGGGCCTAACTCAACCCCAAAAGCTAGATCATGAGGAAAGGGTTTCCCAAGACCATATAAGGAGACCACAATCCATTTCCCTCACCAATGGGGACGCATAACTTATAGAAAGCAGATTCGGTTCAGGGAGGGACAACTAAAGAAATTCCACAGCTACAGGCCTTCAGTTCACAGGCTGAAAAAATGTCAATTCCTAGTAAAACAGTGAAGAGGGGCAATGAGACTCGAAGGTTATGGTCAAATCTAAGAACTGGAGTACTTAATAGCAATCATCGTTTAGCTATTAATAACAACTGACACATTAGTGCCTTTCGGGACATTGACTAAAAAAAGACGTACATTACCTGATGTAAAAATAAATATAAACGAAGAACTAGATCATTTTTATCCTTAAAACATCTCACAGTTGCAATCTGCTCGAAGCTAAAACTTCATCACGTAATATGCAACTACCTGAGCAACAAACATGTAAAATTCGCCGAATCTCTAGTATCATTTGTTAAACTCAGTATTCTCGTATTTAACCCCAATTTAACGAAAATTTTAAGAGCATGAATTTTTCATGTACCTCGCATTTCCAGCAAATTATCTACCTTAAAATCTAACTCTTCATGCCTTAGCATTTCTATATCATCACTATCAAGTCAATTTTCTAATGTTGAAATTGATTGAACTGGTTTAAACGCTGAAAATTACAATAGCACATATATGCCTAATGAAAAACAATAGGTCAGAAAATACATAAAATACAAAAGCGAAAATGATCACAAATTAATGCGGAAGTAGATAGCGTCGAGTCGAAGATTAAGTGTAACCTCGACGGCGTTCTTCAAGAGGAGGTCGTCTTCGGGAATCCAGGAAACGGGAACTGGAGCAGCACTTGCCATCTCCATCCTGTAAACCCTAGTCCCTAAAATTCAGCTTGATTCCAGAATTAGGAGAGGTACAATTATCATTCTCAATTCTGGTTTGAGAGAGGGGAAAACTGATTGCGGAAAGTGGATTGCGGAATATTGAACTCAGTGTGATGGTTCGGAATCGGAACTTTGGGTGAAAGTGAGAAACTGAGATTTTGGAAATGTTTTTATAGCTTTTTTGTTGTGAGAGCGATGTCACGACGCGGGTAACGTGCTCCACGGAATCCAGATATTTCCGTAATACTTTAACGGCCCTTTTGTTCTCGTTTTTCAATTTTCGAATCACTCGTACATTTTATGATTTTGAGGGCTTAGTTTAAAGTTGAATGATTTTTAATGAGTTACTACTCCCTTCGGTCCAAAATAAGTGATTTTTTGGTCTTTTTTTGTGGTCCAAAATAAGTGATTTTTTTAGATTTCAAGAATGAATTAATTATTTTTTTCCTACATTACCCTTGGAGTAAATAGTGTTGGAGTATGAGGGTGTTTGGATTGGCTTTTAAGCTGGTCAAATTAGCTTTTAAGCTCTTTTTAGCTTTTTTCAGTGTTTGGCAAAGTTAAAAAATCCTTAAAATAAGTTAAAAACTGCTTAAAACAAGCCAAAAGCAATAAGCTGGGCAATCCCAACTTACTGCTTTTTGGCTTAAAAGCTATTTCTGCTGAAAAGCTACTCTTTTTAAGCCAATCCAAACGGGCTCTATGTGTTAGGATTGTTTATATGAAGAGATAGTAAAGGTTAATATGGTCAATTTCATTGCTAATTAATGTTAAAAGGTGAATTTCTTATTCTGTGTGAAAACAACTAAAAAATCACTTATTTTGGACCGGAGGAAGTAACTACCAGTTTGTATTTTGGCTATTTACTGAGTGTTCGGTAAGCTTGCAAGTTGATTTGAGCATTTTTGGGCTTATTTATGCTTCGAAAGTGTAAATTAATAATTTTGTTATGAAATACATATTTATATGGATGTCCACTAATCAAATATAACTCCGACTACTCTTCTTCATTATGTAGATAATCCCACTACTTCTTACCATTATGGATGTAACTCTCACACCTCCATGATCTTCCCCCATGTTCTCAATAGTTAATACCATGTTTATGGAGTTCCTTTGTATTACCTATATCATCCTATAAATAGAGGGTTTGGACATCACATTGTATACACTTGAATACATAGAAGAAATAAGATTCTCTCCTCTCTTCCTTTCTACATTGTTGTCTATTTTATTGTTCTATATTGTTACTTTGAGTTAAGTTTCATAAGACGTTATCAGCACGAAGCTTTAATCAACCTAGAAGATATGAATGGTCGACAACCTTGAACCAATTTGGTTGAACCAATGGAAATATGGGCATTATTATGTATGCCATATTAATGTTTAGTTTGCCTCTATTGTCCAGGGAGTATTATTTTTCAAATTATATGATAAATTGTGTATTTAGCTTATGTTAAAATTTAAGATTTGTAGTTGCTTTGTTTAGAAAAAAACTAAGCTTTGATTTTAAGTTTTCATGCTCGTATGGCTGTATATGTCCACTAACTTTATTCCTAGTTCTAAAATTAATCTTATACAATTATAAAATCATGCTATCATTGATTTTCCATGATATTAAAGGATCTTTGTGAAACATTAAAAAGCATTCTGGTCATGTTATGTATTAACGAGGATTTTTAAGATCGATGGCCTAATCTAATTAGATGCAACATTTTTATGCTGATAATTGACAAAGTGATATCATTATATTTTACTAGCCTATTTTGACATCATCTGTATTAAAACAGAATATGCTAGCAATAGTTATTACTTAAGATTATTTGTTTTTTTAAGTTAAGTATATTTAGTTATGTGTTTCAATTCTTGTGTGCATTTTATTTAGTCATTATGCATTAGTTTGCAGTAATACATCACATAGTAATAACGCCACATGGTGACTCTCTTATTGACATGTTTATATGTAGGATACTAAAACACGAGTTTGTACTCTATCATATTTTTATTGATAATAGTTCTTATCATTTCTATTTGCTTATTTTTATGATAGATTTTACTATGTGGCTACATAAAATTATATTCCATTCCCTGATGTGAATCAGACCATTTGTGATAAACATTATATAAGGATAAGACGGTGGGTTCAAGTCCCAACGCACCATGAGGGTAAGACATCGGGTTTTGAGTCCTGATGATCCATGATTGTAAAAGTTGGGTTCGAGTCCCAACTCATTATGGCCTAACATGTCTTTATATGGGTCAGGCATTTGGTTTGAGTTCCAATGCACCATATGGATGACATAGTGATGACTAAAGAAAAATAATATATTTTTCATGGAAAAGCATGAATCTTGTCCCACTTGATTTGCACCATTCTTGAAGTGAATGTGGTAGCAATGCATAATAAGTAAATGAAGACAAGTGGTTGACCAATGAACATGCGCGTGCCATTGATCAAATAATAATAGTCATCATTATGGTAATTGTAAAAAATGAGAACAATAAGGGTTCTCGAAGTAATCCTTCAATAGGTGAAGGAAATATCTACCATCAAATTGGTATGAAAAATTTATAAAGCACGTCGCGACAATTATACTCCATTCTTTGAAGAAAATGTGACTTGTGCATTGAGAATGCAGATTCATTCCTGAAGGTGAATGTAACAATATGTGATAAAAGTAATGAATAAAGACGTGCAATGCATGAATGGATACACAACACAACTCACCTCTAAGGGAGGTTTGAGAGAAAGAGAGATAATGAATATTACTGTGTGATTACATGAATATGTCATTGGTCGCGTACATGTGGTACGCCAAAAATAATTTGACATGCCTTATAAAAAGTTATTAAAGGCACCAGTAAAGTAAGAAATAATTTTGCTTATGATGATTTTGACCATAACAATTATTATGATATGATTTTCTGACATTCACCATATGGATGGTGTGACAAAAGATCTTGTGGTACAAAATCAATTAAGAGCTCCGGAAGAGCTAATTTGTTACTACCCGGATGAATAAAATTGTTCATGACATTGATATTGCAGTAAGTCTCAAAAGAAACTTTTTGAGTTTCAAATGTATTAGCCAAAGTGGTTGGCATATTGAGACTATAAATGAAAGGAAGATTGATTATCTTCATATTACTAAAACATACCGGGTAAATATGAAAAGTTACCCAACTTTTCTTCTATTTGTACTACAGATGTATAAGCATGATGATAGAATCACATGCCATAAGTAAACTAGAGGTTTATTGAAACAAATATTAGTTGGCATGACCGGTTGACCATCCCGGTTCAATTATGATGAGAAAATTGATTGAGAATTCACATTGGCATATATTAAAGAAATAGAAGATTCTTTAAGAATTCTCTTGTGATGTTTTTTTTTCTCATGATATACCAGTTAAGGTTGGGATTGAATCCCTTGATATCTGGAACGAATAAAAGGTGATATATATGTATGGGCCCAATCACCTGCCATGTGGACCGTTTACTATTATATGATTTTAATAGATGCATCTATTGTATGGTCACATGTGCGTTTGTTATCAACTTGCACCTTGGTTTTTTCAAGGTTGTTTGCTCAAATTATTAGAGCACAGTTCCAGAATATATATTATGATAATTTATCTTGATAATGCCGGTTTAAATCCAAGTTGGTTTAGCAGAAATTGTGTGCCTCCAATTATAGCTAAGCCATTGGTTATGAGACAAATTCGCAAATGAAAATTTGGTATGAGGTATATTATTTAATATACAACAGCACTTGTACGCATCTAGCCAACAGTTATGATAAATTCTTCCCATCAAAATTGCTTCACGGTCAGGAACCAAATATCCCATCTAGAATATGGATGTGCTATATGATTTAATTGTGCTGCCAAATGCACGAAGATGGGTCCCAAAGAGGTTGGAAAATGTGTTGGTGATCCCGACATTTAGGGGGAGAAAATGGGCAGCTGAAAAAGTGATACGTGAAATAAATTATTATGAATACATCTAGATCCTTGTACAAGAAAATGTGAACTTGAAGTTAAAGTGATAATTCGTTTCTAAAATATTTCCAGGCACATTGCTGACCCAAAGCTAAATGTCATATTCCAGCTGCTAATGCTCCAAATAGAATAACGTCCCATGATGGATAGAGTTTATGGCACGCATGAAGCATAATAGACTAATCGGTTCCAAAAGATAAAACCTTGAAGAAGGAGAGGAGCAAATGTTTCAAGATGGTCATAATAAGGAGGCAAGTGCTTTATAAGAGCACCATGACATAACATTTTATAAGACCTTATGGGAGAGGCTCAGGTACCTGAAAATAATGAGATCTCGATAAGTTATGTCTTTATTATGCGATGATGGAACCGATGTAAAATGATCGTCGACGATGTTGTTAATATAATGTAGCGCTCAATATTAATAATATTGACGAGGATCTTGAGCTCAAATCTGTCATGGAATTTGGACAGACAAATGATTGGCCAAATGAAAAATATACAATGAAAATTGACTTCATCTGAAAAATATGAAGTTGGAGCGACTAGTCCCAACAAATGAAAGTATAAAGGCTATATGGAGATATTGAAATATGACTAGTATTATATTGCAAAAAGAATCCTTGATATAGATTTGTTTATTCTAACAAATATTGTCAAGGTTTTGTTGTTTATGCAAATGCATGCATTTATTGAAGTCCGTTCTTCAAACAATCTATTTGTATGGAGGAATTGTCATATTATCATTTCACAAGATGTGTGACTTTTCTTTGAAGAGAAGATTCCAATAATAATGAAGAAGATGATGTTTGCTTATCTCAATTGAAAGAAGAATATTGAAGGAGACTGAATAAATCATATATTTCATCAAAGTTCTTTGTCAGACACGATCTTCAACAGAATGATGAAATAGATATTCAAGAAATTCCTTCAAGTGATAATTTGGCGGAATAATTCACGAAGGCATTGCCGATCTCAATATTAGAGAAGTTGTTATACAAGCTTGGAATTCGGCGTCTCTGAGAAATAAAGTGATATTTTCATCAGGGGAGGCAAATACGCGTTGTACTCTTTTTTCCTTAGCTAAGGTTTTATCCCACTGGGTTTTCCTGGCAAGGTTTTTAATGAGGCAGCAAGTAATGCGTATTACAAGATATGTGTACTCTTTTTCCTTCACTAAGATTTTTTCCTCCATGGTTTTTTCTTAGTAAGGTTTTAACGAGGCACATTATCTATGGACATCCAAGGGGGAGTGTTATGAAATACATATTTATATGGATGTCCACTAATCAAATATAACTCTGACTACTTTTCTCCATTATGTAGATAACCCCCACTACTTCTTACCATTATGGATGTAACTCCCACACCTCCATGATCTTCCCCCATGTTCTCAATAGTTAATACCATGTTTATGGAGTCCCTTTGTATTACCTATATCATCCTATAAATAGAGGGTTTGGGCATCACATTGTATACACTTGAATACATAGAAGAAATAAGATTATCTCCTCTCTTCCTTTCTACATTGTTGTCTATTTTATTGTTCTATATTGTTACTTTGAGCTAAGTTTCATAACAAATTTATCATTTTACCACTTTTAAGTTGACTAAATATTTCTTCCTAATAAATATAGCATTTTATTCAAACCTTATGACAAATGATACTTTCTTTTTCGATTTCATACTTATTTCAGCTGATTGAAAATTTAGTATGTAGTTAATAAAGATGTCCAATCAATCTTTTAATAATTTTGTAATGTGATGAAAGCATCTATAACATTTGAAGTGCCCGTTTGGACATAAAATTTGATGAAAGATTTTTCCAAAAAAATTTCACCTTTTTCGAAATCAGCGTTTGTTCATAAAATTTTCAATTTTCACTTGAAGATGCAATTTGGAAATTTTCGAAAATTTGAAAAACTACAAAAGGCTGTTTTCCAAAATTTTCACTCAAATTACTCACAAAACTTCAAAAACAACCCAAACTGAAATTATGTCCAAAACACAACTCTAAATTTCAATTACCATTTTCACTTGAAAAAATATTTCACCATTTTTTCGACTTTTACAATTCTTATATCCAAAAGCCTACTAAAACTCCAGTTATACTTAGTTTTCGAACTTTTGAATGGAAATTACAACTCATACTTTCAAACACAATTGTGTTCTAAAACTAATTGGAAAATCAAAAGAACAATTTAATGACGATTTGTCGTCTTCCTAATAGCATCCAAGTATCCAACAGATTTAAGCAAAAGCATATTCGGTGATTTTTTCACTATGCCATTTCAAACGAAAGCTGGCTTGTGATACCTTTATCACTGCAAAATCCCAATTCAGATTTTCCCCTCAAGTAAAATGTGGATTACACTCAATCAAGGTTAAGCCATAACCTAAAGAGAAAATGTACAAGTCACAAGCAAGCTACACTTTGGATATTAGCTTTGGGTCGTGGGTCGTCCTTGTGGACCGATTCAGCCCGTTTAAAAGAGATAAATCTAAAAGAGGTTACCTAGAAAAGTTAAAATTACCGCACATTATAATAAGCGGGAGACATGCAAATAATTTTTGTGAACGGTTTTTTTTCTTTCTCTTGAAACTTCCGGCCTTTATAATTCTCTTCCAACAAAGAATAAAAATGTGCAATTCTCCCAAAGAGAAACACATAGTAAGAACACGAGGCATCTAGTTTGTGAGTTAGAACTTTGGTTCCAAGAGAGGCAAAGTAGACTTGGGACAATTAACTTGGCAGCAATTACAATGATTTTCACTGCACATAACAATGTACACAATTCGCTATTTTTGCTCCGTAATTTATTTCTTTCACTACACAAAGACTGCCGCCATTTCTATCGGCACAAAGCTTACTCCCGGCAGTAAATTGAAATAACAAGTAAAATTTAACGATTCCTATAATCCAGAATAATGCTGATACAGATCTTAAATTAAGTTTTACAGCTTCTAACCAATAAGCATCAACAAAATATTAAGAATTAGACTTACAAATGAGATGTGTTGCAATTGCATAACATTCTAAAAAGAACAAACTATGGGTGTGTTTGGTATGACGGAAATCATTTTCCGAAAAATATTTTTCCATTTTCCACTGTTTGGTTGCACAAATAGTTTGAAAAATATTTTTCAAGATATCACATTTTTGTATTTTTAATTTTTAATTTTTTCGTTTTTCTGCACCCCCTCCTCCCCGCAATATTTTTTTTATTTTTTTATTTTATATTTCAGTTCTGGGTTCATTTTTCAGTTTACAAATCGAATTTAGAAGTTTATGAAATTTGTGAGTTCGGAAGGTTGTTGGTTCGAAAGTTTATGGATTCATGTTTATTGTATCTAAATTATTTATGAATACTCTCAAAAAGTTATTTTCCTTAATTTACGTACCAAACACCGGAAAATGAATAAGATTACTACTTCTTTTCTTGGAAAATATTTTCCGTTATACCAAAACACCCTATATGTGTAGATTTTCTAACAATAAAGTAAAAATTAACATCGCAGAATTGAACATTCATTCAAGATATATCATAATTCATCTTCTTAATTTGGCATCACACATAGTGGAGTCGAAACTCCTAACTAGAATACTAAAGTGCTATAGACAATTAGGAGAGCAATCAAATCCAGGCTCAACGCAAAACCTAATTAGATAAAGTAGTCGTTGCAGCTTGGAATAGTTAACTTTTTTTGAGTAATAACATATTATTTGGGAAGTTAGTTGGAATAATTGTAATATCCAACATTAATAGGTTAATTAACCCCATTGCTAAATGGCTGCCTTCAAGCAAGGCGTAGATTACGAGAACCATATTCTCCTCCATTTTGAAGATTGGGATGCAACGATTGTAGGCGAAAAGCATAGAGGTTGTGTACTCCATTGGCAAATGCCATAGCTGAGTTGTACTGTCCCTCATTTTCCACTACACCATACTTTGGATCTTCACTTTTTGTTTCCTTAATTTGATGAACCAATTAACTTTTTCGTGTTAATTAACAATCCAATAAATCAATTAAAAAAAAATAAACATATCTATTTAAAAAGATACTTACCAAATCAAGCACGAGGTTTCCATGTTGCTCTTCTAAGTTCTTCACCTATTTTTAATCACATAAAAAATCCGTTGCACTTTGTAATATATCCCCAAGCCAAATGAAAGGAAAGAAATTCAAATCAAAGATAAACTGACCTTCTTCCTGAAGGTATCTGTTTGAGTCTTGATCACGTGGTACTGCATGTAATGTAATTCATAGAAACACTTATAGTTAAGTACGTATATAATACATGTGGAAAAAGAATTTTAATTTTGTTTGCTGACAATGTAAAAATAATTACACTAAATGTAATCTGACTTACTCCTGATATGTCTTCCATCTTTTTGGATTTCAAACTCATACATAATGTATTCTTAAGTGGTTTGACTGTCTACATATTTTTACGAGAGAATTACGGCCCTTGTCACTTGGCCAAACAGCCCAACCGAAAATGACCCAGATTTGAAACTCTTACCCTATTTAGCCCATATTATACATAACTTGAAAGAAACTTTTCAGCCTTTAGCCCATTATTAAAGACACACTTTTAGGGTTTTTATTATTTTCTTCTTTCTTCATTCCAACACACCAAATTCTCTCACCGCCTCTCGCTTCTTTCTTTCTCACCCACATAGATCCATCATCCTCTCTTAACCTAGCCCCCGCTATTCCCCCTCCCCTACCCCCTACGCAGTTCTGCCATCAATGGCTCGAAGAAGGCTCTGGCTCCTACTCCGTCGTCCATGGTGGAAAGCAGAAGAATATTAAAGATTTTTGAAAGAAAAAATGAAAATACACACAGATCTGAAAATAAATAGCTCTCAAACTTGATTTGCACAAAAAAATAACCACTAATTTGGAAGATTTTGAAGTTTGAAGTACTGGTCATTATTATTATGACCTTGAAGTCTCGAATCTAAAATTGGGTGTATCTAATCTGTGCGTTGAATTCCGAATTCGTTGGCGCAAAATTGTTAACCTATTGACGAGTTGAATCATCCAATACCTTCTACTACAACTCGAGGCTTGGATAAAAAATTATAACTATGTAGCAGTTTGTATCAACACTGTATAATAGTGTATAATTGTGTATATGTATATACAAACACCTCTTATACACTATTATACATGTTTATACAAGTTAATACATTATTTACAGTAAGTGTAGTGTTGGACATTCTATGTGTTCTAGTGTAAATATTGTATAAGTGGTGTTTATATACACTTATACAATATTGTATAATTGTGTATATTTGTGTATAATGTTGTATAACTATATATTTTTTCAGTTTATAAGGATGTATATACATTGTCAGTGTGTAAGAGGTCTCTACGGAAGTTTGACACTTTATTCTTCTTTTTCGTTTATGTGTTGTATGAAAAAGATTTTGTGCGCGTTGGAGGGATTCTACAATTCATTACCAAGTTTTTATTTTTCTTTTATTCTGTTGGATTGCTTCAGCAATTGCACATAAAAGTGTTTGAATTTCTTACCTTCAGATAATATGTATTATTCAGGATTTTTGAGTTGCGTTGTGGCTGATTTGCATTTTTTATCAAATGCTTAATAATCAAAGGAAATCAAGAGAATGAAAACAACTGGTTGTATAAAGAGGGAGCAATAACCGTAGTTGATTGTGTGAAATAAGCTATCTTTCAGGAATTAGCCTATTAATTTTGGGCTATAGATTTGCAAAGTGGTATCTAGGCTATTATGTTGCAAGTCAGGTGTGTGAGTTGTATTTATGTGAAATTATCCCTTTTTTAAACTTTCTATAAAAATTTACACTTGTAGGAAAAAGAAAATATATCATGGCCCCATGCAAGGGGAGGTGCCATGGTGCATGTTATTTGCCGATGACATAGTGCTGATTGATGAGATGAGGAGCGGGGTCAAAGCGAGGCTGGAGGTCTGGAGGCAGACCCTAGAGTCTAAGGGTTTCAAGTTGAGCAGGACCAAAACGGAATACTTGGAATGTAAGTTCAGTGGCGAGACTCATGAGGCGGATGTGGATGTGAAGCTTGATACCCAAGTCATCCCGAGGAGGGGTAGTTTCAAGTATCTCGGGTCTATAATCTAGGGTAAAGGGGAGATTGAAGATGAGGTCTCCCACCGTATCGGTGCGGAGTGGATGAAATGGAGGCTCGCAGCTGGTGTTTTGTGTGATAAGAAGGTGCCACCAAGACTCAAGTGTAAGTTTTACAGAGTGGTGGTTAGACCTACTATGTTGTATGGGGCTGAGTGTTGGCCAGTCAAGAACTCCCATGTTCAGAGGATGAAAGTAGCAGAAATGACGATGCTGAGATGGATATGTGGGCATACCCGGAGAGATAAGATTAGGAACGAAGTTATTCGGGACAAAGTGGGAGTGGCTCCCGTGGAGGACAAGATGAGGGAGTTGAGGTTGAGATGGTTCGGGCACGTGGAGAGGAGGAGTACGGAAGCCCCTGTTAGGAGGTGTGAGAGGCTGGCCATGGCGGGTCTGAGAAGGGAGGACGGTCGAAGAAGTATTGGGGAGAGGTGATTAGGCAAGATATGACGCTACTTCAGCTCACTGAGGACATGATCTAGGATAGAAGGGTGTGGAGGTCAAAGATTAGGGTAGTTGGCTAGTAGGTAGTCGAGAGTTCCTCATTCTTTTTTAGTAGTATTAGTAGCTCCCTTGGTTTTTTTTTTCGTTCGCTTTGTATATCGTATGTTCCAGTTTGCTATTGTTTGATGCTATTCTCTGTTATGGTTTCGTTGTTGTTGTTGTTGTTGTTATTATAGTTGTCTTTCTCCCCTTTTCCTTGTCGTCCTTCGTCCCTCTATCTTTTCTTTCTTCTTCCTCTTTCTCCTTCGTCTTCTTCCTTTCTCTCTTTTCACCTTTTCTTGAGCCGAGGGTCTATTGGAAACAGTCTCTCTACCTCGCCAGGTAGGGGTAAGGTCTGCGTACACACTACCCTCCCCAGACCCCACTTGTGGGATTATACTGGGTATGTTGTTGTTGTTGTATTTATTTATTTTTTAACTAGGACCAAAATGCTATGCCTGTTTTTTTCATTTTTACATTACACTGTGAATTGGCCGGATCTGCATTTGGCAGAAGAGCACAACTCAATCACAGGAGGACATGTTTAAAGGATTACTTCTTAAGTTGTGAGTAATACTTTTTTTTCTTTTCAAAATGAATTTGTATGGGTCAGAATCCGACCCCACGATAATTAACGAAGCTAATCCCGTCTTAAGCTAATTCATGATTAATTAGTGGTAGGACCACTCAGAATTAACGATATTCAACCCTCATCTGATTCGATCAACAAGGCCACGACCCATCCGTCATCAAGAAGGCAAAACCCCAACGTGGTCACGGCCACTTATTGCCAGCTCACGAAGCTCACAGCTATAAATACCAAGAGAGGGAACCATATTAAGGGGGGCTCCTTCTTGGTGACTATCCAGAAAGAAGAGAAAAAACACAATGAGACCCATATTATGAGAAATCACAACACCATTGTAAGGCTCTGAACCTCTCCATGGAGAGGCAGGCCAAATCTACATTACCAATAAAGGATTTTTATGTTTCTCCTCCCAACTCTGAGTACTTATTTTCGTTTCCTTCATTTGGTCCAATGAATTATTACGTTTTGCTATGATTTTCCCGTGGTTTAATTAAATTATTTTATACTCATAAGATATGTGATAACTTTTGAGCAAACAATTTGGCGCCGTCTGTAGGGATTTCCTAGCAAAACAAAAGCAACCTAGCTCAAACAAACCAAAGCAACATGTCGGACAAGGGGAACTCGAAGATTTCAAATCAAGATCCAAGTCCTCTCTCTCTCTCTCTAATCTCGGATAGTGCAAAGAAGAAGAAGAAGCCCCTCCTAAGGGAAGATCTCTGTAAGGCATCTTCCGCATCCCTGATGCGAGCTCCGGCCAGAAACCGGCACGGAGATATCTCGAGCCGAGAGTCGCCTCAAGACGGCCTATATACCCTGGTTGGGAAGACAACGGGTAAGCCGCTCAAGGTCTCGAATCAAAACCGAGCTTCAGCAATCGATACCCACAATATTGGACTCAGGCTATGCGCCTTCGCCATCAAAATTGGCAAAGTCCAACAACAGTTGAACTGGGACTCAGGCTATGCGCCTTCGCCATCAAAATTGACAAAGTTCAACAATAGTTGAACTGGGACTCAGGCTATGCGCCTTCGCCATTAAATCAAGGCTATGCGCCTTCGCCATTAAATCAAGGCTATGCGCCTTCGCCAATAAGTTCAACTACGGTTGAACTGGGACTCAGGCTATGCGCCTTCGCCATTAAATCAAGGCTATGCGCCTTCGCCAATAAGTTCAACTACGGTTGAACTAGGACTCAGGCTATGCGCCTTCGCCAGTAAATCAAGGCTATGCGCCTTCGCCAAGAAGTTCAACTACGGTTAAACCAAGACTCAGGCTATGCGCCTTCGCCATCAAAATTGGCAAAGTTCAACAACAGTTGAACTGGGACTCAGGCTATGCGCCTTCGCCATCAAAATTGGCAAAGTTCAACAACAGTTGAACTGGGACTTAGGCTATGCGCCTTCACCATCAAAATTGACAAAGTTCAACAATAGTTGAACTGGGACTCAGGCTATGCGCCTTCGCCATTAAATCAAGGCTATGCGCCTTCGCCAATAAGTTCAACTACGGTTGAATCAAGACTCAGGCTATGCGCATTCGCCAGTAAATCAAGGCTATGCGCCTTCGCCAAGAAGTTCAACTACGGTTAAACCAAGACTCAGGCTATGCGCCTTCGTCATCAAATCAAGGCTATGCGCCTTCGCCAATAAGTTCAACTACGGTTGAACCAAGACTCAGGCTATACGCCTTCGCCGTTAAATCAAGCCTATGCGCCTTCGCTAGTAAGTTTAGCTACGATCGAACCAAGACTCAGGCTACGCGCCTTCACCATCAAATCCAACGAGTTCGACCTCGCTTGAACCATAAGGCTAGACGCCTTCTTCCTCAAATCTAACAAGTTCAACCACAGTTGAACCAGGACTCGGACCAAGCGCCTTCATCATTGAACTCAGCAAAACCCAACCTCCAACGAATCGAGGCGCAGGTCAGGCACCCTCGCCATTCAAGTAAGTATTCCCAGCTCAAACTAAAATTAGGAACACGTAAAGTCCGGCCCCGGTCAAACTACAAGGCCGCATTTTTTATCATCACGGTCGGTAGTTCGACCGCGCCCAAACTGGGACTAAGGCTAAAGGCTAAGTGCCGCTATCGCCAAGCAATGGCTCCGACTCACTCACCCCGAGTCGAAGAAGAAAAGTCGTCAACAATCAAAAACTAACATGCCTACCATAGTCAAACTCAAAGGTAAATCACCCCTTCGAACGCATGCAAAGAAAAATCTAAAGGGGAAAAAGGGGAGGTACAAAACAGATACAAGGCAAATAACGGAAAGGAGATCTCATTTATCCACGAAATTAATTGCGGGTAATCCCCGCTTACACCCGGCCAAGGCCGATCAATACAAGGAAAGAGAAAAGAAAAACAAGAAACACCTAAACGCCAAACGGCGAACAAGACAAGAAAAAATGCATAACATCTTTTTACTCGGCGCCATCCACGCCACCATCTGCACCAGCGTCAACCTCTGGCGTCGCCGCGTCAAAACCACAGTCGGTACGGGCCTCACGAGCCTTTTGACGCGCTCCCTCGAAAGAAGCTTCGGTCACGATGCCGGCCTCCCACAAATGCTTATATACATCACGTTGGGCCTCGGCAAAGACCCAAAGTTCGCGAGCCTGGCTGGAAGAAGCGGCTTGGTCCCGTAGGCGCTGATTCCCGGTCCGCCATGACTTGGGCGTCCTGCTCATAGACACCGATCCGCTCCTCGAGACTCGCTTCTCTAAAGGCCGCAGAAGCCCTCTCCAACGCCCGTTGGGACTCGTGCACGCGGATAGCTTCCTTCAACGCCCCAGCCCTCGCCGAGGCATCCCTCGCCTGAAGCTTCAATACCGCGACTTCACCCTCCAATGCAGTCACTTTCCCGCTCCATGCCGCAGCGGCCTCCGCCGCCTTAGTCTGGCCCTGGCGCTCACACTCAGCTGCAGCCCTCCTCCCCGCCTCGAGCTCCTCATCCTTCCGACGGAGCTGCTCCTCGAGAGCACTCGCTCTGCCAAGCGCTTGCTGCATCTGAAGCTCCCGCCTCGCCAGTTCCTCGACCAAGGTCTGACTACGGGGATCATTCCTCAAGCGCACGCGCATCTCTCGGCACCGATCTCGGTAGCGGCGGTACTTCTCCAGCGCCCGCAAAAATATCCCCGAGCGGACGTTGGCTCGACGGATGCTCTCCACCTCCAACAAATAAGACTGCAAAGCAAAGACAACGATTAAGATAAAGAACAAACTAAGACGAAGAAGAAGCGAACCGACGTTATATTACATACCCTCAAGCCCATCACGGCCACTTCATTCATCAGTCCGACATTCGAAACGCCCCTCAACGACGCATTCTCGGCCTCCGAGCATAGCAGCTCGAACTGCGGCACCAAGCTTTCCCCTTGGAGCAATAAGTTCAACTCTGTGGGAACCTCGATGAAGCGAGATCGCCCCTCTGCGCGCACCACTAAATTGGTGAAGCCTTCCCGGAACATACGGACGTCGTCGGGGTCCAAGTCGGATTCGGACTCGTACTCATCTTCTACAGCATCCCTTCCTCCTTCCGCCACCAGCGAGGTGGAACCACCGGCCGTAGCCACCAAAGGAGTGCTTAACTCACCAACATTAGCAGCCGCTGAGGAACTACCTCCCGTCTCAGCGACTTGAACCACCAACTGAGTCGCCGAAGCGACAGTATCACCATGGCCTAAGCCAGCCGGGGCAACCCCCATTGTCTGTCCGCCCTCAAGGGCAGGCACCGCGACCGCACTCCTCTCCGCATCCGTCGGAGGAGAGTCCAAATTAATTACCACAGGAGGAGCCGGCGTGAACACGACCCTACGCCTTATCAATGGCCTCTGCTCCTCCCCATCTGATGACGATTTCGCTCTAGGGCGCACAACCCCTGATGGCCCCTCGTCCCGAAGTGCGGCCCGTGCTGGAGAAGGAACCGCTGAAGATTCAACTGATGCCGCCCTCGGTATTGGGCGCGACACCGGCGCCGCAGTAAGTCGAGCAATTGCACCCGGCCGACGGAAGGCCAATTGAGGGGCCCTGACGCGGCGTGCCCTCCCTGATCACAGAAAAACAAAGTTGATGAATAGAGTTGAAACAAAGCGGAACAGAAGAAGAAATCAATTTTTTACCTGCCACAGGCCTACGGCCATGCCTCTCCCAGAAAGACGCCCATGTGCGTATACCCACCGTATGGGGGAGCACGGCCTCAACCCACTCACGAATTCCAGCCAAGGGAGCCCGCGGCAACTTTTCGGCTACAAAATTGATACGAGTTAACGTTTATGAGCACAAGATGTAAGGAGGGGCAAAAAAAAGGGAATTCGACGATTAAGGAACTTACGTGCATGATTCCAAGCCTCTGGGAACCCAGTAGAGCACGCCACTAAATGTTCAGTCCTGATGTACAAGAAGTGCTTGAAAGGGCGAGGGTCGACCTCATCATCCAGTTTCACAGTCAGGCCCCTCGTCCTGCGAGGGCACGCTCGAATCATGGTACCACGAACTCTCTGTGGAGCGTAGAGGCTAAGCACATGCTGCAGCGTGACCTCCCTACCGGCCAGTTCTGCATATTTGATAAGCATTGCTAATAATTTGTAAAGAGAAGGAGCAAGCTGACCCGGGCATACCCCGTAATAACGACAGAAATCAACCACTAGCATTGGGAGCGGGAGCTTAAACCCCAACTTGAAGGGATAGACGTAAAAGACGCAGTATCCCCTGCGGTCGGTGTGGACCCTCTCCTCGCTTCTAGCGAGAACGACGTCAGCATAGCTGGGGATGACCCCCTGTCCCCGTAGTTGGGACATCCCAATCTCCCCCATTAACGGGGTTTCATCCACCTGATCCTCCCCACCATCGGCAGTGAAATCAGTCATCAGGCCTCCGGGCAGAGATACTATCTCGTCAACCGATGGAGCTTCATCGGTCTCCACCAGTTCTGCACCATCCATTGCCGGAGATGACCCTTCAGTCACCGGAGAGTTAACCGGAAGATCCGTCGGAAGAACGTTTTGGGGAGAACTGCCTGCCATTGTTGATTCAATAACGAGAAAGAAACAAAGTTTGAGGGACAAAGACGGAAGTTATATCAATCGAAGAACAAAGATGAAGGTGAATTAGCAGGAAGAAAAGCTTCTTCAGAATCTCTCAGACAAACAATGAGAATATAAAAAATGAATGGGTCAGCCCTTATTTATAAGCAACACAAGCGGCTTTCACAAGCCCCAATAGCCTTCATTAACTACATGACCAACCGCAAACCGATTCGGTTCTGCAGAAACGCGTGTCGTTATGACAGGCTCCGGCTTTTCCGTCACCAACCGGCGTCTCACCTACGAAACGGTTGCAACGACCCATGAACGCCGAGAAGATGTTCCGTGCGCCTTCAGAACGACGGACGTCGCCAAACACGTATCCAGCGTACCCCTACTCCCTTCGGGTTCACAACATATGACCCGTCCACCATGGTCGACGGTTATGCTCCCAAACAAACGTAAGGATCAGAGCACAACAAAGCTCGACCTCACTCGAATTAAGTTAAAGGGTCAAGCGCCCTCGCCAAGGACGAGAGTTCGACCTCGATCGAATGACGACTTGATATCACAATAACAAAATACTAACAATCTACAAGGCTAAGGGCCATCGCCAAAGGAAATTCGGCCTCGACCGAAGCGACGGTCGACCTCCCTATTCGAGTTTTTCAAACTACAGTCGATGAAATCCACTCATTGAGCTCGGCCAGGGCACGACCTCAATAAGCGGAGGGACTAACTGTATGGGTCAGAATCCAACCCCACGATAATTAACGAAGCTAATCCCGTCTTAAGCTAATTCATGATTAATTAGTGGTACGACCACTCAGAATTAACGATATTCAACCCTCATCTGATTCGATCAACAAGGCCACGATCCATCCGTCATCAAGAAGGCAAAACCCCAACGTGGTCACGGCTACTTATTGCCAGCTCACAGCTATAAATACCAAGAGAGGGAACCATATTAAGGGGGGTTCCTTCTTGGTCACTATCCAGAAAGAAGAGAAAAAACACAATGAGACCCATATTATGAGAAAGCAGAACACCATTGTAAGGCTCTGAACCTCTCCATGGAGAGGCAGGCCAAATCTACATTACCAATAAAGGATTTTAATGTTTCTCCTCCCAACTCTGAGTACTTATTTTCGTTTCCTTCATTTGGTCCAATGAATTATTACGTTTTGCTATGATTTTCCCGTGGTTTAATTAAATTGTTTTATACTCATAAGATATGTGATAACTTTTGAGCAAACAGAATTCATAATAATTTTTTAAAACTAATTCATTCAATTATATTCTTCATGAGTGATTTTTGCTTGAGAATGTTGAGCACTTATCCGTTATCGAGACTCAAAATAAAGTGAATTTTGACTAATATTACACCATTTCACATTTTGATAAAAGGTAACTGCTCGTGTAAGTCCATTTAGCTTCAGATATGGATCAAATCTATTCTTGATAAAGATAAGCAAGGCAGAGGCAGAGGCAGAGGCGGATGCAATATATTGACACCGGGTTCAACTGAATTCAGTAGCATATAATAATGCCTCCAAAATGCAAGAGTAAAGGTAAAAATCATAACCTTTCTTTCACGTATCTCAGCTAGAGATTCGGAGATGTTTTCCTGCAAGAGGCACAACTCCTGCAAATTGAGGCCGCTCATGTCTTCCCCTGTTCTCTGCCTATGAACGAACAGACAAGACCATCATTCATTTCATTATTACATACACGTTTTAAAGTTTTATGCATTACATAATCAGATCCGTTCGTTATAATTACAAGACGAAAAAAATTAGAAACATTAAGTAAAGTTTAGTCCTCATAACTAATTTGTTATCCTATATATGTTAAACTACACTAATAAGCAGTATAAAAAATCTTCACGCTATCAGTATATATAGCTTAAATCTTTATTCCAAAAGGTTATAATATTGATACAACCCATTAGTCATTCTTGAATTTCTCAAAAACAGAAAATACAAACCTGCTAATCAAAATCACACAAAAAATTATCGAACTACATATTACTCCTAGTACCATATGCATGCCTTACCTTATCTCTCTTCTTAGCTTGTTATTGATCTCTTTCAATCTCTTCAAGTTTTCTTGCATTTTCTGCACACATTGAAAGAACAAAGCGATTTTGCAGGTAAAATTACATGGTAAATCATTCCTAATATAGTACTAGCAGTCATTACGTTAAACCACATAATGGAAAAACTAGAGTTTAGGAAATTATTACCTCGTAGTGAGGGCTCCAAATATCAACCCCAAGTGTCCTCTGATATTGATCAATCATCTTTTTTTGCCTGATTAACACACAGAACAAGTTGGAAAGAAAGAAAGAAACAAAATATACTACGTTTCTTTTTTTGTGTGTAAAAGACATACGTAGTGTTGGGGCTGGTGTATTCATGGAATTTCCTGGTGCTGGAGAGCATGAGGAGTGAGATCTTAGCATCACAAAGAACAGTAAGCTCTTTAGCTTTCTTGATAATACCATTTCTTCTCTTGGAGTAAGTGACTTGCCTGTTTGTTGAATTCTCTATCTTCTTTATCTCAATCTTTCCACGACCCATGATCTCTTCTTCTCTTCTGTAATGAAAGAAACACAGAAAGTAGCTAGCCTCATGATCTGTCTGTCCTGTGATGAAGTTAAAGAAGAAACAGAAAACGAGAGTTAGTAGCGAAACTATATCGGGAAAAAGAAAGTTAAAGTGTAGTAGCTGCACTAGTAGGAGCTTTTGCTAATTTTGTGAAAGTCTTTTGTGGCTCTCATGATGACTTCTGTTTAACGTGTGATGTCCGGTTCTTTGACCATGACAACTCCCTGTTCAGCATTATGGCGTTTGTTTGGAGTTAGTAAACTTTAAGGTTGTAATTTCGGCTTTTTAAATTTTTTTATTTAAATAATGTATAAGGATTTTGTTATATTAAGCCGTCTTTCAAAAACAGTCTCTCTACCTTCACAAGGTAGGGGTAAGGACTACGTACTCGTTACGCCCCTAACTTAAAGTTGTGATGGCTTTAGAAGTGCTAGAGAACCAAACACAAGAATAAGAGATTATGTTATGCTATTATTTAGGTTCAGTAATTAGGTAAAAAAACAAAAAGATATTGCTTTTTAATATTACGAATAAGTACTAAATCAACAGAACAGTGACTAACCATCAAGCTTTGCCTCGACCATTCTCTGATACTGCCACATTCATTAGTTGACCGAGATCACGAATTTTGAGTTACAGCACTACATAATCACTGCCTCGAACTCTTCAGTTACATGCATGAAGTCCATGGTTTTGATTTAGAAAGGTCACACAGTGAAGTGATTCCTATAAACTGACATTGACGAGATAATGAAAAAGTATGCACTGCTCCCGGTACAGATTAATAAATAATCCAAACTGGTTCAAATAAGTAATTTTCAACCAAACGGCCTTCAAATTTCTCCAAATTTGCCCAAGAAGTTAAAGACCCGTTTGGCTATAGATTTTGTCAAAATATATTTGAGTTTTTTTGGCAAATAAATATTTGCTCATAAATTTTATCCATATTTTGACAAATTCCCAAAATCCAAAACCCAAATCCCAAAACCAGAGCTGGTTTTCGCCCAAAATATTAATATTATACTTTTTAAAAATTACCCCAAACTTTTGTATTTTATAAAAAAGCTCACCATTTATTATTTTGTAACAATCTTGCTTCGTCTTCTCGGTCATCTGATAGTGTATTATGTAATTCATTATGAAAATGATAATTTTGTACCAAATTTATTTATGTTCAGGACTATGGTTTGCAATAATATAATGAATGTTATTGATGAAGGTATTGTTGAGTATTTGTGATAGTTTTTAGAACTTGTGGGTATAAGTCATGTTTCATGTTTTTTCAGAAAAAAAGTGAAATATGTTTTGAAAACTAATGTCCAAACATTTTTTATCTTCAACAAACTTCACCCAAATCAAATTTTTCAAAACAAATTTAAAAATTTATGACCAAACGCTAGCTAATTATCGTTTACTGAAATATTTAGAAGTCATTGTGGTTTGGAAATATATAGTCGAAACCATAATCTGATATCAACATATATGAACAAATAGAAAAACCACCACTTTACAAATTTATATATATATATATGCTTTCGTTTGGCTATAGATTTATCATTATTTTCTCAAATAAAAATTGAAAACATTGTTTGTTTATGAAATATGATCATATTTTTGGGGAAACAATTTCAAAAATTTCCAAGTTACCAAAAACTGGTTTAGGGCAGTTTTTGGGTAAAATTTTTTCTTCCACTCACAAAACTTCAACTTTTCTTCAAATAAATGCAGACAATTTCAACTTTCAAAAATTATTTTTCAACACAATTTCAATTTTTTTTTTTTAAATTTCAATCAAATCTATATTGTTACGCTAACTATATATGTCAACCGCAAGACGTATATATACTACAATATCTCCACTTAGAGAATTTTTTGGTCTGGGAACTTAAAAGGAAAAACGTCATTTCCAACGTAAATTTATAGATAAATAATGATAAAGAAGGTAATATGTTATAAAACAATAAAAGAAGAAGAAGAGTATTACATAGAAAAGTAGAGAGAAAATTATTATTGATTGGGGATGAATTACAATGGAATAAAACTCTTCTATTTATAGGAGAAAAATAACTTAGCCACCACATAAAATCTCTCTAACATATAGACATTTACCCCACACTTAAACCATTGCTCGTCCTCGAGCAATCAAACTGCACTTCACATAGAGACGACCTTCTTATCGGACCACTTTCCTAACACATCATGCCAATAATATTTAAAACAGACTGAGCACCATATCATAACATCCTCGCATCAAGACTCAACTCAAAAGGACCACGCATTTTTCACATCCTGCTCACTTACTCTAACATAGAGGTCAAAGATTTCACCTTACCATCATAAATCATGTGCCCTCACACAAACAATAGAGAGTAGTTCCACACACAATAAAATTCAGGAACAAATAGGAACTCAAAATAGACAAAATTAACTCACTCTCAGAAATAAAATTCATGCGCCACAGAGAATGTATGATAGGCTTGCCCGTAGTGTAATACTTTACTAATTGAGTTCATTCAGTCAAGGATAAAGTAGGACTTAATTTGGCTGTAATGTAGGCTGCGAGACGGGCATGATAGATTTGGATATAGTGGCTACACCTCCCTAAGCACTTTAATACATATACATTAACAATTCAAACCCCACACTTGTGTTGAACCAAACACCAACCTTCATACATAATTGCATCAAGCTCCCAATATCTGTACGTACGAACAAGATGAGAACTACCACTAGCATGAAATCCATTTTTTTTTCTTTTCTAAGTTCTGATTTTTTTTTCTTTTCAAGCAAACTCGTTTTTTTCAATTCTTTACATGTGGCTCTCACCATTTTTTTCAACAGTGCACCTTTCTCCTCTTTCTAGAGTTTCACTCAAAAATTCGACCATACGTCACTTAGCTTTTACAAGCTCCTAAAAAATTCAAGTGCTCACGAGATGTAAAAGGTTCAAACAGATAGACAATTCAAATAAAGGGTCAAGCCTGTAGTGTGGTTGCCAAAAGATTAGGATTACAAGCTCAAAGGGGCTAACTAAGATACACATTCATTAGGTGGGCAAAAGCATATATGTGGCTCAACAAAGAAAATGACTATATCACTTCCTAGACTGAACAAAACTACTATTTTGCTTTACAAATACATCGGGCAAGTTCTAGACATCACAGACAAAATATCAACAAAAGCCTCACTCACACATTAGCACATAACTCACTTAGGATCGAATCTTTTCCGACTCTAGTCAAAGTAGTTAACAAAAGTCACAATCAACCAATTTAAGGCATTTATCTAAGAGTCAAGAGTTGAGCCTAGGAGTCACAGCTAAGACACTCACCACTCTTAAGGAACAACAAAGTCAAGAAAAGTTATCTCCATTTAGAACCATAGCACGAGACTTCATTAATCCCATAGAAAAAACTAAGTACACCCGGTTCAAGTAAAAACCCTTGGAAAAGAACCGCGACACAAAGAAAAACCAAGGGAAAATTGTTATACTACCTAAGAAAAAAATATTAAAAAAAAAAAAACAAAAGACATATTTTTGGATTAGCAGAATTTTTTTTATTTTGTTTGTATTTTTGTTCGACTTTAATCCCTCAAAAAGACAGTCGAGAAAATCCATCGTTGGGAAAAGTTAATTTTTTTTTCAACTAATACTAAAGGGAAAAAAAAAACACAATCATACATATACATATTTACACTCCCCACTCCACACTTTAAATTGTGGCATGTACCCATGACACACAAATAAAAAGCAAGAGGTAAGAGAAACTTCCCCGATTCATCTAGTCGGGGTCTGAATTGAAGTCGGGATCTCCTTTGCACGCCCGACCCAGTGCACACATCCATACTGAGAGCTTCTTTTCCACCTTCTTTGGGTACACCCCACACTTATCAGTTTTACTCTCTCCGAGTTGCTCCTTTAGGGACCCCCTTTCTCCTTCCATCTTGAAGATCAGCCTTTCATCTCCCACTCTGAGCATGAGTTGCCTTTCCTGAATATCAAGAATTGCTCTGCCCATAGCCAAGAAGGGTCTTCCTAAAATCAGAGGGACCTCCTTATTCTGCTCCATGTTCACCACAATAAAGTCCACTGGGAACACAAATTTGTCTACCCAAACTAGCACATCTTCCACTATTCCTTCAGATATGACTGTGGTCTGATCCGCCAGCTGCAAGGACACATGTATCAACCTGATTTCTCCAATATCTCCCTCTAATTTCCTGAAAATGGACAAAGACATAAGATTTATAGAAGCACTTGAATCACACAAATATTTTTGAAATTTAGTACTTCCTAATAAGCAAGGTATAGTAAAATTCCCTGGATCTCTGTATTTTTTAGGGAGCTTATTTTGCAAAATGGCACTACAATGCTCTGTCAGCTTGACAACCGATGTCTCTTCAACTTTCTGCTTCTTGAACAATATCTTCTTCATGAATTTAGCATAAGACGACATTTGTGAAAGCACCTCTATGAAAGGTATATGCACATGCACCTGCTTGAACACTTGTAGAAAGCGCTCGAATTGTTTGTCTAACTTCTCTCTTCTTTGCTTCTGGGAGAAAGGTAGAGCATGCATGTATTTACTCTCTTTAGTCTCATTATTTGTTGCATTATCATCTTCTTTTTTCTTGAGATCTAGTCTTCCCTTTCTTCTTCAGACCATCATCTACCATTACTTCACCTTCTTGAATGTTGCTATTTTTCTGCTCCTCCACAATCTCTACCTGTCCTTCAATCAACTCATGTTTTTGTTTAGCCTTGGGATCCTCCAATACGTGCCCACTCCTCAAAGACACTACATTTAATTTCTCTTTTGGATTTCTTTCAGTGCCCAACAGGGAGAGTTCCTGGAACCCTCTCAGACAATAGATTAGCTAGTTGCCCAACCTATCTTTCCAAGTTTTGAAAAGCCGTGCCCAGTTCTTTGATAGTTTCTCCATCTTCTCGTATAGCTGCGCTATGGGGGTCAAGCCTCTCATCTGTCTTAATAATAAAGGCCTTCATCAGATCTTCCAAGCTAGACTGATGAGACTATAGAGGCTGATATTGCTGTCTGTGCTGATTTTGAAAACCTTGAGCTCCTTGTCCCTGGGGTCTAGAGTTATTTTGGTGCCATGAGTTCAAGCTACCACTTGGTGAGTTCCAATAAAAGTTTGGGTGCCTCTGTCCCATAGAATTAAAATTGTTACCACTCTGGTAGTTGCCTCTGCCAAAGCTTCCCACATCATTTACCACTTCATATGTAGCTAAGTCCTGACACTAATGTGTTGGATGACCCATTCCACAGAAATCACAAACTCGTGATGGTTGGCTCTAGACCTTGGCTAAGGTCAACTTTCTTATCTCTTTGGCCATGGCGTCTAGCTAGGCTTGCATTACTGTGTTAGAATATACTTTATGAACCCTACCTGGTTTTCTTTTATCATTACTCTCAGTAGGCCACTGGTTAGCATCTTCAGGGAGCTCATCAAGAATTGCCACAATCTCCTCAGGAGTCTTTTTCATTAAATAACTTCTGACTGCAGTGTTCAGAGTTCGTCGTGAAGGAGATGTTAGTCCATCCCAAAATTCCCGGAGTTGCATCCACAATTCAATCTCATTATGCTGACACTTTCTCACTATCTCCTTGAATCTTTCCCAAGCCTCGAAAACTGTTTCAGTGTCCGTCTGACAGAAGTTGTGAATTTCTATGATGACCTAGCCGGTCATTTTGAGAGTATTAGCCCCGATACCTTATTTACGGCTTCTCCCGTATCTTTTCTGCTTATGTGTCTTGCCGGTAGGTAATTTTTTTGGTTTCGGAGTGATTTGGGACACTTAGTCCCTAAAATGGAAACTTAAGTTCTGGAATTTTGATCGTAGTTGGACCTGTGTGAAGACCACTCCAGAATGGAGTTTCGTCAGTTTCTTTAGCTTTGTTGGGTGATTTTGGACTTAGGAGCGTGTCCAGATTGTGAATTGGAGGTCTATAGCTGAATTAGACTTGAAATAGCAAAAGCTGAATTTTTGGGAAGTTTGACCGGGAGTGGACTTTTTGATATCAGGGTCGAATTCCGATTCGAAAAGTTGGAATAGGTCCGCAATGTCAATTATGACTTATGTGCAAAATTTGAGGTCAATCGGACCTGTTTTGATAGGTTCTGGCATCGGTTGTTGAAGTTTGAAGTATCAAGTTCATTAAGTTTGATTTGGAGTGCGATTCGTGTTTTCTAGCGTTGTTTGATATGATTTGAAGGTTCGACTAAGTTCTTGTGATGTTTTAGGACTTGTTGGTATGTTTGGTTGAGGTCCCGGGGGGCCTCGAGTGGATTCCGGATGGTTAACGGACTAGAATTGGACTTAGTGTTATAGCTGAAGCATCACCTATTGCTGGAGTCTGGTTTCCTTCTATGCGTTTGTGAAGATTCTCCCGCATTCGTGTAGAGGAAGTTGGAGTGATGCTGAAGTTAAGCCTTCGCGTTCGTGATGTATGTCCCGCGTTCGCGAAGCACGGTGACCTTTGGCCTACGCGTTCGCGATTGAGTCCTCGCGTTCGCGTAGAGAAAGGGACAAATGGTCACCAGGCAACTGGCTTACGCGAATGCGTAGAGGTGAACGCGTTGTCACTCACATTCGCGAAGGAGGAATTTCTTTTCAGTTTATTCAAAGCGAACGTGAGAGTGAGGCCGCGTTCACGAAGAAGGGATCACTGGGCAATTATAAACATTTCTAAACGAGAGTTTAGCCATTTTTATCAAAACTTGACATAGAGAGCTCGGATTTGGACGAGATTTTGAGGGATTTTCAGAGACATCGATTGGGTAATAATTTTTCACTTCTTTTTGGTTATATCCCACTAATCTATCATTAATTTCATCATTTAATCAAGGATTTGGGTTAAGAAAATTGAGGAAAAAGTGGGAAAGTTCTTCAACCAAATTTTTGGATTTTGATTGAGATTTTGACGTCGGATTTGAGTAATTTTGGTACGAGTGAACTCGTGGTTGAATGTGTGTTCTTATTTTGTGACTTTTACCGTGACGAGGGTCCGGGTCGAATTTTCGGGGCGATTTTCTAATTTATTGCTAAAGCATTGATTTCATTAATTAGATTGGTTCTTATAGTTATATTTATGCTATGTAATTGCTTTTGGCTAGATTTGGGCCATTCGGAGTCGAAAAATCATGGAAAAGGCATTCTTACTGATTGATTGAGCTTGGTTCGAGGTAAGTGGCTTGCCAAACCTTGTGTGGGGGGAATCCCCTTATGATTTGGTACTGTTGTGATACTACTGTGATATGTGAGCGCCGTGTACGCAAGGTGACGAGTGTGTACACGGGCTAATTGTTTTAAAATCCGGGTTTTACTGAATAGTAACCTGTTACATCTTAATTGAGTTATACCAGCATGTGTAGTTATCCTGTTTAGCCTAATATCGCATGTCTACATGTCTTAAATGCTTATTTGAAATCTGTGCAGCATGCTTAGTTGAATGCTTGTTTTTCCTTGATTCGTATCAATCTTAAATTGTAGAGTTCTTGCTGTTAAATGTTGTTTCCATATGTTTCGAGCTGTGTGTTTACTTTTGGGACTATGAGGCGGTACCTCTGGAGATCCCCTTGTGCATTTACTTTTGGGATTATGAGGCGGTACCTCGGGAGATCCCCTTGCATATTTACTTTTGGGAGTACGAGACGGTATCTCGGGAGATCCCCTTTTGAGCATTTACTTTTGGGACTATGAGACGGTATCTCAGGAGCGCCCCTGTTGTTTATTTCTATGTGTTGCATTGTTACTTTCTGTAGATTTCCCCTTGTTAGATTCTCAGTCTTTTCACATTATTATTTCTTCTATCGTACTTATTGTATATCAGTAGGGCCTTGACCTGACCTCGTCACTACTCTACCGAGGTTAGGCTTGGGACTTATTGGGTACCGTTGTGGTGTACTCTTGCTACTCTTCTGCACATATTTTGTGTACAGATCCAGGTACCTCCTACCAACCTCGCTATTAGTTGCATACTTGCTACCTGTCTTTACTTTTTGATTTTCCGCAAATTGTTAGGCTTACCTAGTCGTAGAGATTAGATGTCGCCATGTCATCTTACGGAGGGAGAAGTTGGATCGTGACAAGTTGGTATCAGAGCTCTAGGTTCATAGGGGTCGTGAGTCACAAGAAGGTTTAGTAGAGTCTCGCGGATCGGTACGGAGACGTCTGTACTTATTTTCGGGAGGCTATGGAACTGTTAGGAAAAATTTCACTTCTTTGATTCCTTGTCGTGCGAAATTTATACTTCGAAATTCTAAACTTCTGTCTTCTATTCTCTCATAGATGGTGAGGACACATACAGCCGGATAAGATGACCAGGCACCCCCGCCCCTGCTAGAGCTGCTAGAGGCTGGGGCCGGGGTAGAGGCCGAGTACATCCACGTGGTGCAGTCAGAGAGCCCGTACGAGCTACTACAGAGGAGCCACCAGTAGCTCCAGTCGGAGCGCATGCACCTGAGAAGCGTGTTACTGCACCAGCTCTTCAGGAGACTCTTGCACAGTTCCTGAACATGTTCGGTACTCTAGCTCAGGCAGAGTTGATTCCATTTGCTCATGCCACATCTCAGGCCGGGGGAGGATCACAGACTCCCGCCGCCCGCACCCCAAAGCAGCGGGTTCAGGTCAACTAGGTTCCAGAGGTCATACCAGTGCAGCTGGTAGCCCAGTTCCGCCCGAGGGTAGGGCAGCAGTTTCTGAGGAGGAGCGGCTCAGGCTCGAAAGGTACAAGAAGTACCACCCTCCTACTTTCAGTGGCTTAGCGTCAGAGGATGCCCAGGGTTTTCTTGAGGAATGCCACCGCATCCTTCGTACTATAGGCGTAGCGGGGACGAGTGGGGTTTTTTTCACTTCGTTCCAGCTTAGAGGAGCGCCCTATCAGTTGGTGGCTTGCTTATGAGTTGGGTAGTCTGGCTGAGGCAGCTTCACTTACAAGGACTCACTTCTAGGATGTGTTCTTGAGGGAGTATGTTCCCAAGAGTCTCATAGATACATGGCGCACAGAGTTTGAGGAGTTGCGCTGGGGTTCTATGACTGTGTATGCAGTTCGCTTCAGTAATTTGGCTAAGCATGCACCAACCTTGGTTGCTACAGTTTGAGAGAGGGTCCGTCGGTTTATAGAAGGGCTCAACCCCAGTATCAGGCTTAGCATGGCCCGGGAGTTGGAGATGGATATTGCATACCAACAGGTTGTGGGGATTGCTAGGAGAGTAGAGGGTTTGCTTGCCCGGGAGAGAGAGGAGAGGGAATCCAAGAGGTCTCGAGAGTTTGGCACTTATAGTGGTACTCATGCCCCAGCTACAGTTCATCATGGTGGGGGCTATGTGAGACGCCTTATTCATTCAGCACTTCTAGCCGCCAGCGGTTTTCCGGCCACTCCAAGATCCTAGGAGCCTTATTATGCACCGCCAGTGTCTAGTACACCTCCTGTACGGGGTGCTTTCACCGGTCAGTCCAGCCGACCTGGGCCGAGCCAGTCACAGCAGCCACGCCCTCCAACAGCTTGTTTTGAGTATGGCGACACTCGCCATATGGTTAGGGATTGCCCCAGAC